ACACACACACAGACACACACACACACACACACACACACACACACTTAATAGAGAGAATGAGGAGATGTCACAATGTTTTCACTCCGCGTTACATTTCGAGAAGGCGCCGCCATATTATCAGGATACGCTATCCGTTGCCACGGTTACTTCTGAATCTCTATAGCAGTGTTTCTCAACCCTGGTCCTGGGCGCCCCCCAACACTGCACATTTTGTATGTCTCCCTTATCTGACACACCTATTTCAGGTCCTGGAGTTTCTTTTAATGAGCTAATGAGTTGAATCAGGTGTGTTTGATTAGCGAGACACACAAAATGTGCAGTGCTGGGGGGCGCCCAGGACCAGGGTTGAGAAACACTGCTCTATACGATATCTGCTTATCTTTTGGACAACTGTGAAAAGACAGCAGCAGTCCGGCATGTTCCCTTACGGAAATTAACACGAATAAAACCAAAAATCATGGTTCTTGTAGCCACGGTAACCGCAAATAACCATAGAAGTATTAAGAAGTATTAAGATAATATTGTTTGTGGTTATAAAAACAGACCTAGCCTTTAAAATGACTTCAAATACATTATATAAAACAATGATTGGCTAATTAATAATGATATGGTTTCATTGAATAACACTGTTAAAATACATAATGTAATACAAAAAAAACCCCATTTATGTACATCACATGTTATTACACAGCAAAATCCCAGAGTTACATCAACTCTGCTCAGAGTAAATATTGTCCCAATCTACAGAGTGTTAAAGTAACACTGAAGCAGAGTTCAAGTAAATAGGACAATTAAGCGATTAATTAAGTAATGATTGAGCATTAGTAAAGAAAACCCACTGTTAACAATGTTGAACAAGAACAACTACTGCTCAGGCTTTTAGACATGAAAACTTACCACATAATCCTCAACAGTGGAAACTCTGCTTCAGTGTTACTTTAACACCCTGTTGATTGGGACAATATGTACTCTGAGCAGAGATGATTTAACTCTGGGGATTTTGCTGTGTACAAATGCCTGCAAAGGGAGCCAAAGGCCTGGTTATTGCTGCTGCTACACTTACAGGACGATCAGATCCTTGTTTAATACGCTATTGACCAAACATTTCATTCAAATATCCACTTAATCTTTCCTTTTTGCTACAGATGACACAGCCTCTATAATTTCTTCAACAAAACACATGTGGACATCACAACCCTTACAAAAATAACCATGGTTTTATCGTCGTAAAACTGCATAATTTTCTTTTGCGTGATTTCTAAATGCTTGAGACTATAAAATCAATCAGACAACTGTATTAATAAAATCACAGCCATAGGTAACTGTCTGGAGCTACAATTGTAATTTATAAATAATACAATTTATTTATTTACTTTTATATTTTATTAAAGTTAAATTTTGACCCCTATAGTATGTGTTTTTTTTTACTTCCATAATATTTGAGGAAGGGGGCACAACAATACAGTTCTGCTCAGGGCCTAGACTGCGCTTGTCATATTATCAAAACTATGCAGTGTTTTAACCACATAATTCTTATTTTAGGTTTCAGACATTTAAATACACAGAAGTACTAGTAAAACATTACATTTATAGTTCGTGAAATACACACTGATGTCTATGGAAACAACAATAACAATCCATTAAAATTTAATTTGCCGATGTGTTTTATTCTTATCAGATACACATAGTGTAAGTAACTATAAAGTTCACTCTATTCCTCTCCCAGTTCACCGGCCACTTACTTACATGTATTTCGGGAGAATTTGATGAATTCACGTGAGGCTAAAGACATGAAGATTAGCCCAGAATATTAATGCAAAGTGTTTAATTGCCTAAATGTTAAGGGTTTGTTTAATTAAACATTAAGCGGTTTCCTCCCTTTAGAAAATTGCAATGAAGAAAACGCTTAACATGGCCTATGCATTTAGACAGACAGTATTTAAAGTTCATATTTTGGGCTCATCTGTTAGTATGCTTTATTAGTAAGGTGATACAGAATGTGGTCTTTTAATACCACTATCTCTGTGCCTTAAGCGTTTTCCTCTCATATAAAGAGAATATATCATATATTAATGTGTAAATAAATGTGTCGTGTTCACATTTTGGGCTCATATTTATATAATTAATTCATATATGACTCATATCTGCTCATAGTATAGCTTTACAATTTGGTCTTTATCACTCTCTTGGTACATTAAGTCACATGAAGAGTTATTCATGTTGAGCATTTTAGAAAGTCCCTGTTCAAGTTCTGCTGATTCTCAAGCCGAGTGAGAGATATACTCGCAACAGTGATGTTAATTACTAAACCAAACAAAATCAAAACTTTCAAAAACAACCAGCAATGTGATTCTTTTATTGAGTGATAGGCAGTAGGTTATCAGTGAAATTATTAATAGATTTACTATCCAGGTGTCTTCTCGTCATCACGACCTGCTTCCATTGGAGTTGTTACACGTAGAAAAGACAAAAAAACATACTGCATTGTCCAGTTTTTTTTCACAAAGATGATCTGAGTTACTATTGCAATTCTCCATTGTAGCGTCTGCGTAGGATCATGCATGATAGTTGGACTGTTT